GCTGTGAGACCTGGGGGTGGGGCAGGTTCCGGTGCAGACACAGGTTCTGTTTCTCTGAAGCTTCAGATCATTTTGTTTTCAGACTAAAAGTCTTTTTTCTTCCAGTCTTTGCTGTGCAGCTCATTATGAGCTGTTCAGGTGGACTGGACCGGTACCAGAACACTCAGGCTAAGCTAAATGCATGTGTTGTTTGCAGAAACCTGTCCTGGAGTCGCCCTTCATCGAGTCATACCAGCRGGTTTGTACCTACAACCTGACCCGGCTGGTCTCTGTGAAACTGCCCCACTGCAAACCCAGCGTTGACCCAACCTACACCTACCCTGTGGCCCTGAGGTGCTCCTGTGGGCTCTGCCTGACCAGCACCACTGAGTGCATAACGTCCGTCTGAACACTTCACTGTGTCTCAGGCTGGATGTGAACGTTTTGTTCACTGAAGCTGGATCAGAGCAGAAGTCTGACTTATTTTATCTGATTTTAAACGTCTTCATTCAACAGCTGAAGTTCTACAGCAAACTGAAATCTGTTCCAAAGATATTTAAAGAAATATTCTTTAGGTTTCATCCTGTCAACAGGGATTATAGATTGTGTTCTTTGTGTTTTCTAAGTGCAGCCTGATTAAATGTGGGGTACCTCAGGGCTCCTGCTTCAGTCCTGTTATAATCATCTGTTTCAATATTAAAGCTGGGATCATTTTAAATGTTCCTCTAAAAAAACACTTTTAATTAAAATTTTAAAAACTAATTCTAAATATTTGTTGTACATTTGTAGATTAAATAAAGTCTTGTTTCTCAGTTTGTTCAAACTTGAATTGTTAAATTCATCATGGTGTGTACATAAACCATCACACAACACTTCTCTGAGACCATCCTGGGACAGAAGTGGACACCGTACAGAACCAGAACTTTAACTACTGAAAACATTGGTTGGTTTGAATTAGTTCATTCTACAAAATAAAGAACTACTTATAGAAATCTGAATTAAAAATAAAGAAGTTAAAGCCAGTCTCTTTGCAGACCTTTGTCACGTTCAGGTGGAGACCAAAGACCTCAGTGTCAGGTGTCCAGACCCTSAGAGTCCACCTGGTTCAGGATGAAGTGAGACATTTTGCAGTTTCAGCTCAGAATGGGACAAGTTGCTGCTGTTTCTGAATTATACAACAGCTCCTGCAGAGGAAGATGAAGGTTTGTGAGAACAATGAAGATCTGCTTGATAAAGTCAACTAATAAATAATATAARTTAGTGGTTCCCAAGGTGGTGGTCTGGCCCCCTCTGTGGGTCTGTTACCATCAGGGTTCAGAAAAAATCTCATGCTGGTTTATTTTTATTAAAAATAAAACAGTCAAGACCTTAAAAACTAAGTTCATTAACAGTTTGTGTCTCATTCTGCTACAGTTAACTCACACTGGGCGGCTGTGACACAGTGCTTAGGAGAGATGGCCTGTAACTAGTGGTTGCTGGTTCAATCGCCCTCATCCAGCTGTCTCAGTCRTGTCCTTAGGCTAAACACTTCACCTGCCCTGCCTCCTCACATCTGTCAATGTGCAGCTGTGGTTACCTGTACTTTACTAACAGTGTGTGAATGAATGGTGCAGGAAATTATAAAGTGTCTTTAAGGCTCTCAGAAAGCACTTTTTTATTTTTGGGTGGTGTTGGTGGTGGTGGTGGGTGGGGGTTGGTTGTAAATCTAAACTTTGGAAACCTCTGATATAAATGAAGTAAAACTGTTACAAAGTGCAGGAGATGCAGTTTTTCTCCCTGGATCCCCCACTGGTTTCAGTCTGTTGGCCTTTAAATACCATGACTTATAAAATAACCATAGGGGGCGGGGTCACAGCTCTGCAGGAAGTGGAACAGTAATGTCACTTCATCATCAGGAGGTCACAGTAATTACATGATCCCTCAGGCTTTATTTAACCACAGAGCTGTTTCAAATGGAGGTCTGAAGGCAAACTAACGTTTTCATTCTGTCAGAGAAAACCCACACAAGCACCAAAACATAAGAACTCTGAGGGATCAAACTCACGACCTTCTTGCTGTGAGGCAACAGTTCCAACCACTGATCCACTGTGTTCCCAAAGGCAGCAAAGAACCAAACAGATGTGTGGTCTGAAATCCTGTGGAAACATTTGAAAACGTCTAACATGATGCTGCAGCTTCCTGTGATGATCAGGACAGCGTGCATCAGTTTGAATTTCACAAAWATCCAAAGTGCCTCAGAATGACCTGTAGTTCTAAACCCAAGGAAGTGAGGCTGTTTAATGCTAAACACCAGAGGGAATTCACATAATAAAAACTCTGCTTTTTTACATGAACGGTTGAGTTTTAAACTACTTTTCTTCCTTAAAATCAGCGGTATRATAAAGAGTTGTCTAATTGAAACCTTGAATAATTGAAAAGCTCTGTAGTTGCACAGAAWGAGGACGCTGAAAGCACAAACACGTCCTGATTGGCACCACAAAAGAAGTGTTTTAGACTAAATGAGATTCAAGAGCAGTGCAGCTGAAAACTGAAAAACTCACAAGCKGAAACATTTCAGCCTTTTTACCAATTAACGTGTTTTCCAGGGAAGGTGTTGACAGACTGGGAGCTGATGGGTGTCAGTTTGGCTGAAAGTCTGCTTCCAGGAGCAGTGAGGAGACGTTCATGGGGAAGAGCATGTGCTCCATCYCTGCACTGAAACTTTCCAATCATCAGACGCCTCATGTGTCGAGGCAGAAGCTGCAGGTGAGCCTRCCAGGAGAATCCTGACAGGATCATTTCTGCAGGGTGTCCTTTGGCTCGCCATCAGGGGAAACTGAGCGTGATAATTCCTCCCTCTCACTGCAACTGGCCCTGTTGTCAGAGAGATGTCTGATTGGATTAGCAGGACAGATTAATGGATGGAAACAACTAAAACAGGCATTTAAAGAAACGGTATGAACATTTTAATAAGAGTCTTACCTGTCAAATCCCCTTAATGAGATTACCTCCATCCTTTAATCTCATCCTCCTGGAAACAATCAGCTTTTACAGTTGAAGTCTGTAACACAAGCAGCAGCTTTCACACACACATCTGATTCTGATCAGGGAAATATCCCCAGTACTTCATATTTATACTAATGCTCATGTAATACTGTCTGTCTGACTGTTAGTAAAATATACCCTGACCTAGTGGACAGATTTAACTAATCATTGTTCATCACAGCTAATTAACATTAGCAAACAGACATGAAACCATTCAGTTTGACAGACAAGGTGCTAACATGTGTGGCTGATGGTCATCCTCAACACTAATATTACATTTTGTGTGAATATCAGCCGTTAGATAAGTTCTTATTCATGTGATTCCAGAGTTCAAACACAAAGACTTTCAGTCTGAACTTAAAGTAAAAACTGAAACTATTCCAGCAGAGAGAGGAGAACCGAACYGAAGACTCAACATTTAAAAAGATCAGCTCTGACAGGTGAGACAGGAAATRACTCCAGTACTTCCAGCTCTCTGCTGGACTCACCTGAACAGCAACAAGCAAATCAAATCCAACATTAGACTGAGTTTAATAAAGCCGGCTCCTGATTGGTGGACTCATGGTGTCCGTCAAACTGCACCTCGTCAGCGTGATGAAGAGGAGATCAAAGAGAGGAAGAGGAGGNGATATTTTTCCATCTGTAGTTCCATTTTTTAGACACCTTATCTAACTTACAAATCAAAGGATGTTTCTTTTTGATGATTTCCATCGGTGTGATTACTTGTTCACTCTGCATTTCTTTGTCAATAAACAGAAACAAGATAAAAAAAAAGAAGAGAAAAAAAAGAACTAAGAAATTAAAAAAATTAACTAACAGCCTACAATTATTATATATAATTATCTCCCTTTGACCGTTAAAATGAAATTATAACGGTCATTTACAAAAACACTTTTAAATGTACAAGCAGAAGATGCTCAGTCTTTTTTACACTAAGAATGGACAATTATACAGTCTAAAAACTATTTTATTTAAAATCTTCTAGGTCTCCACACCTTTTGCTGCACTAACTGTTATAAAGTCCCCACGGTATGCTATAAACCAGACAAGAGTGTGTGTGTGTGTGTGTGTGTGTGTGTGTGTGTGTGTGTGTGTGTGTGTGTGTGTGTGTGTGTGTGTGTGTGTGTGTGTGTGTAGGTGCAGATCAAAGGACAGGTTCTTTACTTCTGTCTAACTTAATGATAAAGAAAACCTCTTGATTCCAGCTGAGAAGGACCACAGTGAAACCCTCTGAGGCGTCCAGGAATAAAACAGATTGAACTCCATCAGTTCTACATCTGAGCGTCGGGTCCCTGCGTCCAGACAGAAGCTACCTGAACTCAGCATGGAGTGGATCAGGGTCTGCCAGGACCAGTCTGGCTGGTTTCACTGAGCTGACCTTGTGTAGGTTAGGGTTAGTGAGTTCACCAGTCAGTTTATCACATTTATCACATTTATACTGCTGCTCCATCTCAACAGCTTCATCATTAACAAGCACACAAGCAGCAACTAAAGAGTCTTTGGTAACACTTTATAATAACTTAYTGAGCCTTAATCAATCATTAATAAAGGCTTACTTAACCTTCAAAACATCAGTAAGGATGATTCAGACCTAATAAGCTATGAATTGACACATTTATTAATGTTTTACCCATAAAGGCTAATTATGACTCCCACACACGAAGCATAATCAGGAGTCATTTTGTTTTCCTACTGTTTATTTTATATTTTTTCTCTGGAGATTTTTGGTCAACCGTAGCACAGAAACAGCTGCACTGATCCACATGAAGTCAGGACTGTAGATGAGTCTGACCTACACTGCACCAGCCAACGGTTTTATGATGGACCCCATGTTTGAGGAGGGGGCTCCTTTCAAAGTGGGGGTGTCAGGACATRCAAAAATGTTTATAACTCAGAAACTGTTCAACATAGGAGCTTCAGATTTGTTTTGTTGTTTAGCTCTGATGAAGCTCTATCCARCAGGCCCACCAATCAGAGCCATTAAGCAGCTTTCAGCAGTCATTAAGCATGATAAAGTACAAGTTCAAGCCATTTACCATTGTATTTATTTCTCTTGTTAGCATCTTAGCTCATGTGTTGAGCTGAAAGTGAAGGAGACAAAGAAGAAAAGCTGACAGAAGGTTTCAGTCTCAGCTTTAATCAGTTTCAGACAGACGTTTCTATCAATGTTCAGGAACACAGACGTCACTTTAGACTTTTAATTATTTATTAGAATATTTTCTATTCTCAGGGTTGAAAGGTTCTGCAAAAAACAACTTCAATCTTTTTTTCAAACAAGTCTGAACCCACCAGTGTCCCTGTCCACAGTGAAGACAGACCTATATCATTATGGACTGAGAGGACCAACAGAGGAGCACCAGAACCAGCAAGATGGACTGAAACCTGCAGTGGTCCACATGGATGAGACAAATGTCTTCTGGAGAAAAGACTGATGGTCAGATAGGACAAAGACTGATCTGTTAGGACAAAAAGACAAGAAGGACATTTGAAGGAATCAAGATGTGACTCTCACTGAACCATCTGTCAGACATGGTGGTGGCAGCATAATGATGTGGTGTTGGACTATCTTCAAATTCTTCAATCTCACCTCCAATCAGTAGCAGAACCAATGAAACTCAGACACAGTCAGGTCCAACAGGACCATGATCTCAAACACACATCAGAACTGGTTCCTGATTGGATGAATCCAACTAACACTGGCCTTGTGGAACATCCTTTACAAAACCCGGACCTCAATC